GTTGTACAGCATCTTGATGGCAACAAAAAAAGTATTTTGGACAGCATTTCGTCGAAGAGCATCGATGAAGCAACAGGAGAGCCTAGGCTGGGCTGCTTTGGCTCACTGGGAAGTTAGAGAAAAAGGAGCCTTGGGGACAGGTGCAGGGGTAGAGCCTGGGACAAGCTGCTGCTGCTCATTGCTCCCCTGGTTGCAGGTCTCATAGGGTCCCTTAGAGGTTGGGGGATACATGCCTGTGGAGGAATGGCAAGGGGTTGCTCTTTGCCGAGAGAGTGCGCACTGGGTCCTTTGCCTTGAGCATATTTCTCTCTCTTGCAGGTGGAAATAGAGGTTTCAGGGGAGAGTCTTAATAGAATATTCATCAGTTTTCCAGGTGTGCTCTTTAAGCATGGTGTTCTCTACCAATTGGTTAGTGCCAGGGCAGGGGGTCATTAGTCAATATAGTTAGTCCTGAGGCAGCCAAGGCACCACTTGTCTGGTTTTGCTGCTTTTCTGGGCCTGAAGCTGAAATACAACTGAGGCCTAGATGTTATCTTTAGAGAGAAAAGCGCCAGGGGTGGTCTAAACAGCCTGACCAGCGATATGAAAGATAAGGGTCCAAACTGCATGACCAGTGATATTCTAGGGGAGGATACGTTGCCCCGGGGGCAGGGTTCTTGTTTTCTCAGGTTTGCCCCTTGGTAGGCATCTGGAGCTCTCTGCCCTAGTGAGTTTCTGTACCTGGCCCATCGTCCTTGCTCTGGGGGTCTGACAGTAACTGTAGACCTCCTCCTTTAGAATGGCCTGACAGCCATGACTTTAGCCATGAGTTTACCTGGGGAGGAGGAAGGGAAGATGAACAGGCATAGGCACCCCAAACCCTCACCTTCTTTAGATGGATGTTCTGTTGACTGAACATGAGGGGTGCACCATCATGAGGGGTGCAGTGTGTGCTACCTGCTTTGAATTCCCTGACCCACTGATGCCAGGGTTTGACAAGAAGGACAGGTTTTTCGTGCTAGTTTAGTGTCTTCTCACACCAGCCCAATCCAAGATGGTGTCTGAATTTCTGTCCTCTGGTGGACCCAGCAGGCAATCAGTTGCACCCCTGCAGTTCATTTCCATGTTTAGCTGACAAGCCTGGTATGCTCCTCGATTCCGTTTTCCTTTGTCAGCATAGAGGCCCGTGAAAATACAGCAGTGCTTATTTGCTAGGGCTGGAGTGAGGAATGGGAGGTGGGAGAGCAGTGGTCAGATCATCTTATAGTCCTAGCCATTAGGAGTAGCCTTACAAGTTCAAAGTACTCCACCATGCTTGGTGAAGGTTGAATGGTGTCCACACCCAATTCTATTCCAGTAAGTTAACCCGAAGGAGCCATCATTGACCCAGGCCCAGGGCCGGTCCAGGAGGACTCTGCTCTGGTTCCCCATTGGACTAGAGGAGGCTCCTTGGATGTTATTCCTGAGAGGTGGAGGGGCACTCGGGAGACCTTTTCATGGAGTTGTAAGACTCCGGCTGGGCTCCTGTGCCTTTGCCACTACACCATAGAGTCCAGGGTCTCCCTCATTAGCAGCATGATTGGAATTTCTGCTCATGAGCCTACTACTGCACTTGGCTGCCAAGGCCCAGCAACAGGCCAATAACTGCTTCTCAAAGGGGTGTATCTCAGTCAACTTGGGGAGGATATAGATCCGTGGAATCCAGGAGAAGAGAGCCCTGGTGGTCTGCTGGAGGACTGCCAGGGTGTCCTGCTAGTTGGGGCCCAACTCAAAGGCAGTGGCCTTTCTGATAACCTGGTAGATGGGTGCCATCCAGATCCCCACATGGGTTATATGACAGCACCAGTAGCTCATTGGGCCCATCAATTCCTAGACCTCTTTTCTATTTAGGGGTTGGAAAGGGCAAGAAGGAGAGCAGCTATTCTCACAAAACCACGTTGTTTGCTCAGTGTAAAACCACTTAGTCATCATTATCAGAAGCTGAAATTCAAGTTCCCAGATGCCAACTAAGGGCAACCCAAGGCAGGCAAGCTTTCCAAGGATAGCAGCCTCAGGCCTGCTGCATTAACTAACTCCAGGTGTGAATGGAGCAGAAGGCATAGGTGCTGAGCATGTGTCTGTGTTTCTACCAGCTGCCACTTCATTACTTCAGTTCTCTACTTTTATTATGATGTTTAATGGATAAGATTTAGAGATCATTGAGTAAAATTTGCACATAAAAATTTATTGAAAGAATTTGTTGCATGCCCCTATATTTATCAACTGATTATCCCCACCTGTTATTCAGTGGTAAAGTAGAAACATACAAAAACTTGTTTCCTTGTTTTTTGTTTTGTAGGTTTAAGGACAATCGAAAAGATGACATTTGGCTTGTAGATGTGAGTATGTAAAAATTTTGTACTGATTAACCACCCCTACAATTTTAAACATTATTTTCTACTAGAGGCCCAGTGCACAGATTCATGCACCAGTGGGTTCCCTCGGCCTGGCCTCCACCCTCACAATCCGGGACCCCTCGAGGGGATGTCAGAGAGCTGGTTTCAGCCTGATCCCTGCAGGCCAGGCTGAGGGTCCTCTAGTATGCATATAAGATCGTTAATCTCTTCCTGCCCTCCCTCACTCCTCTTTTCTCTGAGATTCATCAGTCTGTTCTATGTTTCCATGCCTGTGGTTTCCACTCCTGTGTTGAGCGTCTGCCCTCTGGTGGTCAGTGCACATCATAGCTACTGGCCAGTTGGCCAGTCACTTAGGCTTTTATATATATAGATTCTCTTTCACCCAAATATATACAGTTAGTACTGAGATACATTACTCAATTTGTTTTCTTAAGTAGTACTGTTTGGGTTTTTATATTAAAATGAACCTCAGAGCCTTAAGGTTCCTGGGAAGAAACTTGACTTTGATGAAGTTCTGGTGAGGTTGGCTTGTGGATTGTGTCTGAGGGAGATTATTGTATGATTTTTATTTCAGAATTCACTCTCGGTTTGTCATGTTACCCAAGAGACTGTGTATATTAATCACTTGGCAGTCAAAATCATCTTTCATCTTAATAGTAACAAAGTCAAATTTTTCTCATTTTCAAGTGTGGATTATATTCACACTTTATGGTGTTTGGAGTTCATTTTCACCTGCCTCAGTAAAAGAGGAGAGTGGCAGCGGAAGAGACAGACTCACGGTAGCAGAGCTGTGGGCTCAAGGTTCACTGTGTATTTCTCCCTCTCTCTCATGCCTGTGTTTGAACATTGCCAAAGTATAGTGTTCACAAATAGATAAGTCCTATTTCATGAAAGTACAGCAAGCATTTTGTTATACCATTTAACCTAACACCAGTTACCACCTCAGCCTGCTGGTGATTCTGAAGAAGGAAGAACTGTGGTTTTAGTTTTACCTGCCTTATTTGTCCCTCTGCCAAACCAGTCATCTTAATGGTTTCTCCCATTTTATCAATGGTTACTCTTAAACTAGTAAAGGCACCTGCTGTGTTGGAATTTTTGTAGTAGAAATAGATTCAAATTTATCATTAACACCTAAGGGGTGTGCACATGATGTGTGTTGTATTTGATGGTCTCATTTTATACATAACATGGACACATCACTTGGAAACAAAGATGCTTTTATTGTAAATCATGTATCTATTTAAAATACATATCAGTAATCATTTAAAGTTACCTTAAAATAGTGTCAGTATTGAGGGGTATGCTTTATGTCTATGTTTTATGTTAACCAATTGAAAGTAATATTTAGTCTTTGTTTTGTCTAAAACAGATTATTATCAGATCATTTTGTCAAAGAGATTCTTTAAAATGAAGGCTGATATCCACAGTAGCACAGTATTTTAGTGATTGTTTTTGTTTGTTTTTTAACAAGTTTTATGCACCATGGTGTGGTCATTGTAAAAAACTGGAGCCGATTTGGAATGAAGTTGGTCTTGAAATGAAAAGCATTGGTTCGCCAGTTAAAGTTGGAAAGATGGATGCTACTTCCTATTCTAGTAAGCATTTACTCAGTTTACTTTTTAACTGTTAGCCTAATGAAACTGTATAAATTGCAAAGCTGTATTCAAGGTAAGAAGAAATACATGTTTTTTTGCCCATGTGAAATTAAAGTTATCTTAAAATAAGACTATGCTTTTTGAGTTAAATGAATTAACCATTGGATGTGTAATATGAAATATCTTAACCTAAAGCCTATTGGAGATGTGTAAGCTATTGTTTCTATTTTGAGCCCACTTGAGATAATTTGTGACTTGCTGCAACTATAGAAATTTGAGCCCTGACCTATTGATATTGCTGTGTGAATTAAGAATGAGAGTTTGTTGTTTGAGTAGTGTGAGACGGCATGGCTGAGGAGTAAATGGGAATATGAAGGACGAGTTGAGTTAGGATAAATGCAAGTGAGGGTCAGGAAAGTATTCACTTTAGAGAGAGTACTAGAGCAAATGAGTTTACTGAGTGCGTACCACAGAATAGACTGTTGTTGGCAGACTACGGCCCATGGCCAAAATCTGGCCACTACAGTATCTGGTTTTGTAAATGGAGCTCTACTGGAACACAGCACACTGGTTTGTATACTATTATCCGTGGTTGTCTTCATGTTCCATTGGCACAGTGAGTGGTTGTAACAGAGACTGTATCCCCCACAGAGCCCAAACATTTATTTTATGGCCCTATACAGAAAACGTTTACCAGTGCCTGTCTTAAAGGATTTGGGAAAAGACAAAATTAAGTTTAGAAAAGTATGAGACATCATAGAAATTTGGAAAGAGGATGGCTTCAGAGAACAGATTCTGGCTCTGCTGTGTATATGCTTTATTTAGATATGCTCTTGCTGTACAGCACCAGGCAAGTGCCTTAGCACCCCTAACTTCGGTTTCCACACAGGTAAATTTTTATTGTAAGGCCTCTTAATGATTATTTTGAGATTTCAATAATGTAGCACATATAAAGTCCCTTGTTCTATTTAGTAAATGTAGGTTCCTTTTTCCTTTAATTAGTGAAGAAAGAGGAAGTATGTAATGAGTAATTCATTTTAGAAAATCAGGGTTATACTCTGGATACAATTTTGGAACAAGAAAGACCTATGTTTTCATCCCAACTCTTCCATGTCCTGCTTTTTTGGCTTTGGGGAAGTACTTAATCTCTTCATTTCAGTTTTCTTGTCTGTAAATGGAAGAGTAATAATCCTCTAGGTTATGATTGTACTGATATTTCATATTCAAACCCCTTACCACAATAACTACTACATACAAGGTGCTAAGAGGTAATCCCAGATTTTAAGGGGCCCTCATGTGGGACAAAGTGTTTACGTTTTATTGCTTGTCAATTAAGAGGCAATGCACATTTTTGAGACGGCCAATGGCTTTCTACATGTAGTAAGGAAAGAAGAGTAGAGACAGGAAAATCATCTAAGTGGACTTGTGTGCATCTTGGTGTAGAATGCTGGGAGCCTTGACTTGGGTGGTTGGCAGTAGAGTAAAGAGGAAACAGTAATTTTTAGAGACATTTTCAAAGGTGAAAATACAGATGTGATAGATTAGCTCTGTGGTAGAAAGAAAAACAGTTAAAAGTAATAGTATAGGATTCTTAGCATAGTTACTGAACTGGTTATGTGGAAAATAATACTAAATTGAAATTTGTATGCATTTTCCTGTTAGCAGCTATTTTGAATTTGTGGTATTTTGCTTTATGTTTTGGAATAGGGCATTAGAGTACATGTACGATGTTTGAGCTGGAATTACTGAGTCACACGAATGAATTGTTGAAACTTTGAGAGAAGAGATCAGTGGTAGAAGTTACTGTAGAGACAGACTAATATGCTTGAATTGGTATTTCTTGAAATAAGCTTTTAAAAAAGTTTAAGAAGTTACTCCTTTCAACTGTTGCTCATGAAAGTAAATTATTGTTTCTACACTTTTATGTTGATTAGACATGCATGTAAAGATATATTCTTCATATGGTCATTCATTCATGGTCACTCAGTCAATATTTGGTTTGTCAAGCCTGTAGTGGTCTGTAGAAATTAAACAAGAACCAAAACAAATCCTTCTTGTCCTGGAAATACAGTTAAATGGAGGGAGAGAGATGAACAAACTAACAAGTGCAATAACGTCATAAACATGCCACATTCTGTGATCCTTTGAATCATTCAGTGAAGTAATAAAATAATGTGTAAAGGAATATGGGAGTATAAAGATAATGAGAAAAATAGTACCTATAAATCAGTAAACATCTTAATGGAGAACTACTCATGTGATGCTGCAGTGATAACAGTTTACATTATGTCAGAAATTCATATCTAATTCATTAGCTTATTATTCAGTGTTTATTAAGTGCTCTGTGTGCACTATTAAGTGGCATGAGAATTGGAGGAAAATGGTGAATACTTTTTCCTGAGTAGCTTAGAGAAGAAAGTATTTTAATTGCTGGGACTAAAAACAATTTTCTTTTAGGTCTTAAGACTTCATATGTAGTTTGTAGCTTTTTAAATACTTTATGATGGACTTTTTTTTCATTTCATTTTCATAAACCATTAATAGGTTTAAATTTGCCTCTGATCTTACGATAGTTAGGTCTTATTTGTTCACTTAGCATTGTATAATATGTTATGCTGAATTAAGAGGAGGAAAAATCTCGCCAGAGGTTACATTGTGTGAAACGTAGACATTTAATACATTATCTGAAGCAAACCTCTAGCTTTAAGAAAAGGGACCAGGAACTGGTGTGTGCTGAGGACTGCCCTCTGCCAGGCACTGTGGTAGATGCTTCATTCATTTTCTGTCCTTTACTCCTTGGATATTGAATAATAAACCTCCACTCCTCTCCCAACCAGCATACAACCTGTGAGGCTTGCTTGTAGATTCTGTGACTGCTTGACTCATACAAACAGCTTATTGAAAAGTCATTCTTTTGTTCCAGTGCTGTAGAGTAAGCATCCATTCAACAGGTATTTAATGAGCGCTTACCATATTTCAGGATATGACAGACATGTTCTAGGCATTGGTGATACATGAGTGAGCAAAGCAGACAAAAGTCTCTACTCATGGACCTTACATTCTTAGTGGGAGAGACAAACAGTGACCAGTAAACTTAAGTATATTGAATGGGACTATTTAGTGTTTGATGTCAATGATGGATGCATTTTTCATTTTATTATAGAATCATGGAGATGTTTTATGTGCTATGAAGAAAGAGAAATTTATCTTCTTAGTATCTAAAAAAAGTTGATAAATATTCAATAACTATTATCTAGAGATTACAAATAGATCTTTTGCATATAATTCTTAAAGTTTCCTTAAATACTTCAGGGCAACTCCAGTGCAGGTAGTTTCATAGAGCTTAGAATCAGAGGTAAACAAATTGAATTTGTTTTCCCAAGCTAGCTGCCAATATGATTCCATGTCTAACTCTAGGATACTAACAGATTGGCTGTTTCATGGGTAGCTCTTCCATCCCCCTAGGTGGCTATCAGGCAGTCACGGAGCCAGTGTTTCTCAGTGTGTAGTCTGCATACTACCTGCATTAGGGTTACTTGGGTTGCTCATATAAACTCAGATTCCAAAGTTTACACCAGCTCTCCCGACTGAAAATCTCTGAGATTGGGTCATGAGAATCTATTTTTACATGGACTTCAGGTGATTGTGCTGCATGCTTAAGCTGGAGAATCACAAAGTTAAGTATTTTGATGGATAGTTATTTATAGAACCTTGATTTGAGTGGGATAGGATTATTCAGTGGTCAACTGTAGAATACCTCATAGAGTATTTGTGAGGGTAGCTTATTTCTCAGTCATGCACATACTTGCAGTGAGTGGAAGCAAATGCCATCACACTCAGTCCAGCAAATCTCGGTATAGAATTCTTGAACTAGAGAAATTTGAACTATCATGATTTATTCTGCCCTGTGGTTTTGTACCAACAATTTTTTGATGCATGGTGTCAACTAGTACTGTAACCAAATAACATTAAAAATTTGTGTAATGTCCAATGCGAATTCATATATGTATTTTAGCTTCTCTCTGTACATATCCCTTCAACAGTGAGTGCTAAAAGTATGTCTTGTTTGGAATTTTAAAAAGTTATAATGTTAGCTGCAATGATGTATTGATTTTTATTATGAAACCACTGAAATTCTGTTTATTCCTCAACCTAAGTTGAGGAATTGTGACAGTTGTATGATAAAGTTCATATTTTACCTCTCTCTGATTTATAAACTTGCAATGACATTTGGCCAATAACATTTGTATTCTGATTCCTTGTTCACAGATTATATTTGCACTAGTGATATTTGGGGCCAACTAATTCTTTGTTTGGAGGGAGAAGGAGTTCCTATTCATTGTAGGATGTCTAGAAGTAGCACTGTCCCCTTACTCCCAAGTTGTGGCCACCAAATAAGTCTCCAGACATTGCCCAGTGGCTCCTAGAGGTCAACCCTCCCCCCAATTGAGAACCATTGCTATATTTTATTCCCTTTCATGTCAGACACATAGTAACACTAAATGTTAAGAAAAACAGCATTTTTGAGTTGAAAAGGACTTTAAATTAAGTTCAGCTCTTTACTGCTCCTCCCTCCCACTACAGATGAAGTCATGGAAGGTAATTAGCAGTGAAATGACTTTGAGTGATTTCAGTCACTGAATTTAGAGGTAAAATTAGACCCAGAATCCAAGATCACCATGAATCCACTGCCAAGCTTGTCTGTCCCTTCAAGTTTTCATTTCAAAGAGAAAATAAAAAAATAGCGGTTTCCCATTTCCCCTCAATTATGATTATTTAAAATGATAAGTTATTCATGTTACAAATGGATTCTTCAAATTGTAAAGGAATTAATCTTAGATTTCTATACAAACTATTCTCTAATAATGAAACCAACAAAAAATGTAAATTAAAGCCAGTTATAAGTTTTCTACACATGCTAATGCTTATTAATATCATCTGTACATAGAATTATCAGCAGATAATTACTTAAAAGTAAAGTCAGGATCAAGAATAGAAAGGAAATGGACCTAGCATTTGAGGATCTCTGTGTGCCAGATTCTCTATTAGATTCTTGTTTACTTGTGTTCTCATGGTAAAGTCGCACCCGTAACCCTACAAGATGCGTGGTATCTTCAGATGGGGAAGCAATCAGAGAACTTAACACATTGCGGACCAGTAGTTTTCTTGCTAGTTTTACCCAGTGGCCAGATAAGTTTCTATTGAACGCGTACAAAAAAGGTTTCACATAAATGTTAAAGGCACGCTTTAAAATTAAATACCCATTGCATTTTGAAGTTATTTATTACATGTTCTTACAGGCTAATACCTTTTTAAAGTATGATACTTTGTAAAACACTGTGTAATATGAAGTGAGAATTCTCATGATTGTCCGCAATTTGTTAATAAATTATTCAGAGCTGCGCAGATGATAAATGAAGTTGGAATGCTAACTTGGGTCATTATATGTCTATAACTCATGCTTTGCTTGTGTGCTTTTATAAATTATACAACCATTTTCCTCAAGGGAAACCTAAGTTTGAAGTTTTAGGAATCACTGTCAATTGAAATTCTATCAGAAATAAAGATATGATCAAGGAGCAAAGGGACTGCAGAGTGGGTGGTATTATAAATCTCCAGCTTATAGCTGGGAAACACTGAGGTCAGGGAAATGAAGTGATGGGGTTAAATTTCTCTGAAGCCTATTGTGAGAAACAACACCAAGTTACAGAATACCACCACTATATTTTCTCATTTGATTGCATATTTCATTTTTTCAATTTGATTTATATATGAATAAATTTTACACTACATTGTATAAGGAGTTGCTAGTGGGATGTGTCCTCTCAATCAATTATGTTAGTCTTTACCTTTGGCAGTTTTTAATGAGCTCTGGGTGAAGGTGATGAGGGCTTGTATTTATCTGCCTTAATTTGGAATGAGAAGTATTAAGAACAATACTTTACTCACATAATGTCTCCCAAATCATTTCTTTTTAAAATTTATTTTATATATTGATTTGTAGAGGAAGGGAGAGAGAAACATTGATTTGCTATTTCACTTTTTTATGCATTTATTGGTTGATTCTTGTATGTGCCCTGCCTGAATATTGAAGCCACAACCTTGGCATATTGGGACAACGCCCTAACCAACTGAGCAACCCAGCCAGGGCCTCTCCAAATCATTTCTTTGTTTTTACTTGGAAGAAGGCAATCTCTATAACAAGTCTTCAATTAGAATATACTTGACAGAAGTAAGTCCTGAATTAGAGATGGCCCAGATAAATTATATAATTGGTCTAAGTTCATATGACAGTTCAGAAGCAGGACCTGCATCTTCAAAACCTGAATCCTTATTTTTGTTACCTCTTCAGTTGCGTTGCCTCTAATAAAACCCACTTTCTGGTTCCCCCCTCCCCATGTTTAAGAGAGAAGCTTTAGGGTTGACAGAGATTTTGGATGTTATTTTGCCACAAATTTGCTTTGTCGTTATTCTTGTATATTGGTAGGAGTGATTTGAAGCCAAAGGTTAATAATTACTAAAATGATGACAGGTAAACCAGAAGCCACGTGGAGACATAGTTTCCTTACACCAGCTGTGATAATAAAATATTGTGGGAATAAAAAAAACTAACAAATGGAGAGATCAGTAAATGCAGTGTACTTGTATAGTCCTGCAAATATATTGTATATAGTCTGTTAACTGAGAATTGTTACTTTTTCTTTACTGTTGTAGTTGCCTTGAATCTGTGAAGGATTAGTATTAATTTACTATCATGATTTCTATAATTCTTAAAGCCTTGAGTCTCTATTCTTTGCTTGTACTTGTTACTATTTCTTCTTTCCTTTAAAAAGATGCTACTGTACCAAATGTATCTCATTTGAACTTGAGGATCTATCTATATATATAAAAGCCTAATATGCAAAGTGTCCCCTTGGGAGTTTGACTGGGAGTTCGATCGCTAACTATGATGTGCGCTGACCACCAGAGGGTGGTGCAGAATGAAGGAAGGCCCCAGCCGGCAGCCACTAGGGACCCTGCCCATGCACGAATTTTGTGCACTGGGCTTCTAATTTCAGAATAATCTTTGTTGTCTCTTGGAATTATTCTAGGTTATTACAAAAGCAGAAACTTCTAAAACCTTTTGGATAAAGTTGATTTTTAGATCATATACTGACTATAGAAATTAAATAATTTTGCAGATATGACTGTTTTTAAAGGTAAAATGCAATGCAGTTCTTTTAAGACTCAGAAAACATTAAAGGAAGAGATGGGCCCTCCCACCCACCCACCCTTTTTTTAAAGAAATATTTGTGCTGGAAAGGAAGTCAAATGAGAAGTGAGACTTTATTTATATGTGTTTGTTTATATATTTTAAAACAAAGACTATCTTTTAAAATAAGTACTTTAGAGTCAAAATTTTAACTATTCTTTTGGCACTTATTTCTTATTTTGTCATAGGATTTTGTGTAGGGTGTAGGTTAGATTGTTAAGTAATTGTTTTGTATGAGAACGTCATGTTTTTCTTTTTGTGAGTTTATATTCTCTTTAGAGGTAAAACAGCATATCTATATAAGTTTGTATAAACATATATGTTTTTTAAGTAAAAAGGCTCATTTATGACCTAGTTTCTCATTTTTAAAAAAAATTTAGAATTTTTATTCTTTTTCTTATCAAGGCATTGCTTCAGAGTTTGGAGTTCGAGGTTATCCAACAATTAAGCTGTAAGTTGAGTGTTGTATGTTTATATGTGTATTTTTATTAGTTCACTCTACTTACATTTTATTAGATTAAGTCCTAGTACTTTCCATGGAGGAGTGAAGTTTTGGGTTCAGTAGTTCTTTCCAGGGGCAGGATGTGATCAAAGGAGAGGGACTGCATCTTTATGCTTGTTTTTGTATTTAAGTGAATGTGCTGTTTACTAAAGGCTGATACATTAAACAAGATTTGACTGTGACAGGCCAGTTGTCTATTATATTTTATGAAGGACAAGGTAACAAATCCTAGTTACAGAAGGTCTTTTACCCTTGAGCAGCTCCAGAGTGTATTCTGCTTTGTCATGTGATTCCTGTCTCCTAACAGATTTTACTTTTGTAATTATGAAGGATATTTCATTAGAGTGAAAGAAATAAAGAGGATCAAATTTATAGATGTTAATTGTAATCTGTAGTTGTTGATCAAATATAACATATAGTATATATGTTGGAAGAAATGGGGTAAAAATTCTAAAGGGTTTATTTTATAATTATCGTTTTACTGAATTTTCTCAGGCATTTCATCCACTCCTTATTTTGATAATATGGGGAGTTAATTGTTTTAAAATTTATTTTTATAATGAAGTAAGTTTTTTTTTCACTATTTTAAAAATTCAAATTTCAAAATTTGAGTAATTTTATTTTTTTATTCTTGGGTTTTGTGTTGACCTCCCACTTTCCCCCACTTTTTAAATGTTTGCTAAACCTCTTTTACTTTCTTGTGTTAAGTAAATTATCCTTTCCATTCTTTAATTATAGATATTCTGTTGTGCTATCACAATTTTTTTTTAATTCTTAGTTGGACATGTAATTCATTGGCAGGCTTTTAGAAATTACCTAATTTTCAATAAGAGATGTTTTTATGCATTGCTTTACTCTATAATCTTGGAGCACCTTTCAAGTTACTATGATATTGTAGGGCTTAAAATTTGTTTAATCACTACCAAAGTCCTATTAATTCCCTGGCCGTTTACTTGCCTTTAAAAAGAGAAAACAGTGAGAATTATAATGTTTTGACCAGTGCTTGACCATGAATGTGTAGATTATTCATTATTTAGAAGACATAGATGCAGTGCAACTATCAAATACACAGTAAATTATTTTCATGTAATTTTAACAAAATACAGCCTTTTTCTTTATATTTGGAGTTGCTGGTCCCCTGAAGCCAGTTGTCTACTATATTTTATGTGGTTATGCTATTTCTTCTCCATATTCCATTTACTATTTTATATTCTGTAATTTTATATAATAATATTGATTGATTAGCATTAAATATTAAAATAGTTGAAATAATCCAAGCTTTTGTCTTTTGTTTTCTTTTTAAGATTAAAAGGGGACTTGGCATATAATTATAGAGGACCACGAACTAAAGATGATATTATTGAGTTTGCTCACAGAGTATCTGGGTAAGTTTTTACTAGAAAAGGCCTTTAATATATGGTATCAATATTTGAAAATTAAATTATTTTTATAGGTCATTATTGAAGGACTTAACCTGAATAAAATTTGTCTACTTATTTATGAGAGAAGGTAAGGTTACATAGACTATGCAAAGAGATTCTTTAAAAAAAGACAAGGGGGAGAGCTGTGATACTTATTAATCTCACATTTAAATTTATTTACAGTATTGAAGACTTTTTCTCCCAATTTTTAATTGATTTTCAAAATTTGATTACTTCTAATAACTTGGTGAATCTTAATTTTTATTTTATTATACTTTTGCTTTTCTACTACCTGGCTTACATCATTTTATTTTTATTGTTACCTGGTTTTAAAGTTTCACAAGAAACCTCACAATATTATTGTTCTGAATAGACTTGGGCTTTTAATCCCTAGGCTGTGATGATGGACAGTGCTTTGTAGATACAGCTGAAATACTTTCCCTGATCTATCACACACTACTTTATGCCAACTCTAAGGTATTACTACACATTTTGCCTAGAATGTGACATAATTGAAACCTATGTGCTTCCATAAGTATTTCCTGTTGGTTTGAAAGCAGTGATCTTATGTTTTAATCTACATTTTGCTCTGGGGTATAAAGAAAGTTGTTGTTTATTAAAATGATTATGTGCAACTTTTTGAAGAGAACATTCATCAAGATAGTTTAACCTATATTGACTTTAAAAGTATAGGCACTTTCTTATGAGTTTGACAGGATATATTATATTGATAGCTTTATAGTAAATTGAAATATTGGGATGGATTTGTTGGGTGGCATGATACTCTCTGTTTTAAATTATTTGAGGAAAGGCAAAGAATTAGGAATGATCTTTATATAGTATAGTTTGCAGAGCTTATTAATATAATTTTCACTGTATTTTTACATTGATTACACATTTAATTGTCTATTTGCTTTGTGAGTAAGTAAGTTTTATAATAACTTTACATTATATGAGGGGATTGCTAGTAGGTTGTACTTTATTCCCTCATAATTTACTTAGTCTTTATGCTTTAGCAATGTTTAATGTTTTAGTTTAAGCTTAAGAAGGGCTCTCCTGATGTAACCAGGGGTGACTCTGTTGCAAATGAAATTTCAAGAGTCGGTTCTGGAGTTACATCAGTTACTAGTTAATTACTCAAGTAAAAATAGGAGCTAGAGTAGAGTGATGCAATGCAGCTAAAGAATTGTACATTTTGAAAATGTGTTTGCCTTTGGAAAATGTGTTTGTTCTTTTTGCAAATTTTGTGAAGTAAAAAATCTGATAATATAGGGCACATTTAAAAGAAGACTTTTAGTTTTTTAATAATATTTTATACATGGTATGTTTTGTAATAACCTTTGATGTAATCTCTTAGTCTTGTTGGGTTTGACATATGCTTATATAATAAAATCTTTGCCGAAACCGGTTTGGCTCAGTGGATAGAGCGTCGGCCTGCAGACTGGAGGGTCCCGGGTTCGATTCCGGTCAAGGGCATGTACCTGGGTTGCGGGCACAAAGCCCAGTAGGAGATGTGCAGGAGGCAGCTGATCGATGTTTCTCTCTCATCGATGTTTCTAACTATCTCTCTCCCTTCCTCTCTGTGAAAATCAATAAAATATATTAAAATAAATAAAATCAAATCAAATCTTTGCCCTAGCCGGTTTGGCTCAGTGGATAGAGCGTCGGCCTGCGGACTGAAAGGTCCCAGGTTCGATTCCGGTCAAGGGTATGTACCTTGGTTGCGGGCACATCCCCAGTTGGTGTGCAGGAGGCAGCTGATCGATGTTTCTCTCTCATCGGTGTTTGTACTCTCTATCCCTCTCCCTTCCTCTCTGTAAAAAATCAATAAAATATAAATAAATAAATAAATAAATAAATAAATAAATAAAATCTTTGTTCCATTTGGTTTTCTCTTTATGAGTTTCTTATGTACTATTATGACTACTATTTTCCATTTTATTCTTCCTAAAAAGAATAGCATACTTAGGAAAACTTTTAGATTTTAACCTCTGTAGGGCATTTTAAAATTATATAGCAATTAAATGAACAGTGTAAGATGTAAGTATTCTTAATATAGTATCAGAAACTCCTGGGATAGTATTTCACATATGCTTGTGTGAATGATCTTTTGGAAAAAAAAATATTCTTATGTGGATTGTTTGTTTTAATATTGGCTAAGATGGTACTCTATTTGAAACTTAATATTTAAACTGATAGATTAAATTGTGGGTGCTATATTTTTATTATATGTGTATAATAGTGGTCATGGGCTATAGTTTTATTAGATTAATGTGGATTGGGTGATACACTTAAAATGCAGTTAATATAGCACTTAAACATTATAAATTTAGATCATATAGGTAGGATTGATATGTTCTGTCTTTAGTTCAAATGCAAGTTCATTTTTTGTTTTTGTTGTTTTCAAACAGAGCACTAATTCGGCCACTTCCAAGTCAGCAAATGTTTGAACATGTGCAGAAAAGACATCGTGTATTTTTTGTTTATGTAGGTGGAGAGTCAACTTTGAAGGTATCAGATGACTTTATTTTTTAATCCAAAAGTTTACCAAAGACTCAAACTTACTTCACTTTTGTTGGACATACTTTAGCTCAATCTAAGTATTTTTATAATAAAAATATTTTCTTATATATCCTCTATAGTGTTTGCCTTCATGAAGCAAAAGTAAATAAAAAGTGGGCAGATGTTGCCTGCCTTGGTATTTCTTTTGTTACTGACCTGGTTAAGACTTTTTGAGACTAAAAAGTGCAGTTTAAATGTAAATTTTTTAAAGGCAACAGATCATTATCTTAAATTATTTTATATGTGTATATGTGCATGTATGCACACACATCCCTTCCTATACTCATCAAATTAAATTAATAAATATGAATTGAGCTTACGTTGTACTTAAACTATTTGGAAGAGTTTGAAAGCTCTTAATTACAGTGGTCTTTTGCCATACAAACAGCTTATTTTATTTGCTTATAGTCTACTAGAGGCCCAGCGCACAAAATTCGTGCACGGGTAGGGTCCCTAGGCCTGGCCTGCAATCAGGGCCAATCTTCCCCGGCTGCCAGCAGCCGACAACCCCCTGCCACCTCCAGTCACCCTCTGTGTGTGGGGCTCTCACCTGCCTTGGCCTGGCACATCCGCTGCAACCCACCCCCAGTTCCTCCGCTGCAACCCACCCCCAGTTCCCTGTTCCCCATCGGGTGATCAGAGCCTGCCAGCCGGGGGTAGGGAGCTGGGGGCAGCTCCTGCATTGAGCGTCCGCCCCCTGGTGGTCAGTGCACGTCATAGCGACTGGTCGTTCCACTGTCTGGTCGATTTGCATATTACACTTTTATATATAGATCTTTTCACATAAAAGGACTTAGGATAGCAGATTGTTGTATACTAGTTAGTGAATGATACAACTTGCTCTGATTGTTAATGAAAATTAATTTTGGTCTTAATATTTTAAAGTCACCTTTTTTTGTTTGTATTTTCACAGGAGAAATACATAGATGCTGCTTCAGAATTAATTGTATATACATACTTCTTTTCTGCTTCAGAAGAAGTGGTTCCAGAGGTAATATTTAAAATTAGACTTTAATAACTTAATTTTAATCTTTAACTTATTACTTGATTTTATCTGTAAGATTTATTAACTGATTTGTGTGGAAACAGTAAACATGTTCAATTGGTACCAGATTACTTACTGTTAACAAGCAAATATCACTAGATTGATAGCATTTACAGATTTTATTTACATTAGTTTTTTTTCTTTAAAATAATAGCAGCTGTGAGAGGTGATATTCATACCCTTAATTGTTTTGAAAGTAGTAGATTTACTTATGTATGTCTGTAGAATAAATGACTACTTCTTAACCTCTAATCTTGTGCCAAGCACTGTGTAAGTTCTGGATTGATGATGAGCCAATGCCTCAGACCCTGATAAGATGGAGCTCACATTTTCCTGGTGGAGGAAGTGGACTTCATGTTAGCATTGCAGGTGATCTCCTCTGTTGGGTCTTCAGACTGAGGTAGTGATCCTTAGTAAACAGATCTATAAATAGGATATCATGATCACTATACTAATAAAAGGGTAATATGCTAATTAGACCGGTCGACCGGACATCTTCCAGACGTCTGACTTCCTTCCAGACAAAGCCATGGTGGCAGGGGCCGAAGCAGAGGTGGTTAGGGACGATCAGGCCAGCAGGAGAGCAAGCAGTTAGAGGCGATCAGGCCGCCATGGGGGAGCAAGCAGTTAGGGGCACGGTCATGCCAATGCGGGGAGCAAGCAGTTAGGGGGCGATCAGGCCAGCAGGAGAGGGCAGTTAGGGGGTGATCAGGCCGGCAGGGGAGCAGTTAGGGCGCAGTCAGGCCGGCAGGCAGATATGGTTGGGGTGATCAGGCAGGCAGGCAGAGGTGGTTAGAGGTGATCAGGCAGCCAGGCAGGTGAGCGGTTAGGAGCCAGCGGTCCTGGATTGTGAGAGGGATGTCTGACTGGGATCGGGCCTAAACCGGCAGTTGGACATCCCCTGAGGGGTCCCAGATTGGAGAGGATGCAGGCCAGGCTGAGGGACACCGTTCCCCCTCCCCACCCCACCCCCCACCTGTGCACGACTTTCATGCACCAGGCCTCTAGTAAAAATAAGGGAGCAGTGCATCTATGGGGACAGTTAGAGGTGGGATGGCTGCTCTAGATTCCTTGATCAAGAAATGTCAATCTGAGAAGAAATAGTTGAACTGGGACTTAGATAATAGGAAGGAGCCATGTAGAGATCTGTGGCCAGAGGAAACAAGAAGCAGGGAACAGATACTACAGGTGCCCACAATGAGAACCCGCCTGGCATATTTGAGGAACAGAGTAATAAGCCAGTGTGGTCTTAATGCAATGAGAAAGGAAATAGCAGGTAGGCAGAGGCCTGTGGAGGCCTTGCAGGTCATGGCCAATCATGTGATCAGTTGAAGTTGGTGAAGGACTTGGTCTTATGTTCATTTTAGGAACATTACTCTATGCCAAGCGCAGAATGAATTGGATAGTGATGATAGGTCCCAAGATCAGTTGAACTCTTGAAGTAACATAGGAAGTTTGGGCTTGGAGGTTGGTTAGTAAGAGAATCAGGGAGAAGTGAAAGAATTGTGCTTGGGAAATAGAATTCTTTGTGCTTGCTGATCTGGAGGGCAAAGGAAGAATTAAGAATGACTTTAGGTTTTTGGTTTGAACAGCTGTGTAGATGGTGGTGTTTTCATGAGCTTTGGGGCTATTGCTGAAGAAAAAGGTTGGGGAATGGGGTGGGGGAGAGGAGGGCATGAACAAGAGTTTTGAATTGTTCATTTTAATTTGATTCAGCATATTAGATATCCAAGTACAAGCATCAAATACACAGTTGGGTTTGGGATCTAGAGTTAAGTCTGTGTAAAAAAACTCCTTAAACATTGGATGCAAAGTTTTAATGAAGTAAGAGATCCCAGGACCTAATGACAGCAAAGGAAAATGACAAGAAATAGCCAGTGAATAGGAAAACAAGTTGAGTGAGGAAGCCAAGAGAAAAACTGTTTAAAGTAGGAATGTTCAGTGTGTAAGATTCCCAGGTAAAGCAATGTAATCATCGCATAGCCCTGGGGTGGTGGGGAGGGACGGGAACCTGCCTGTGCTGACTAATGCCTTAGGCCCTGCTCTTTGGCCACTTCACAGTGCCTCTCATCCTTTACTTCCTACATCTTTAGGTCTGTTGTCCACTCTAAGAGTATTCCATTGTTTCCACTAGAGCAACCAGGGCACTATACCAGGTGATGGGTATATAAAGAGATCAAACCCAGTCCTTGAATGAACTTGGGATTCACTGTGCTCTTTTTAAATAATTGTAACAATTTGTCATTGTTAGGTGTTTTTTCTCCTTTCCTGGCATCCTTTAATAATCTTGAAATCATAGCTACAAATTGAAAAATTTTAACTAAGATTGTTTACACATCTGATCTTTGCAGTATGTGACTCTGAAGGAGATGCCCGCCGTGCTTGTTTTCAAAGATGAAACTTACTTTGTTTACGATGGTAAGTTCCAAAGCTTTAGCTTACATAAAACATTTTAACATTGAAATGCTGTCTCTCTTACAGTATTTGGGTGTTGATGAAAGATTTTGTAAATGTAACTGCTTCTTACAACTGCCATAATCTACCCAGTTAGTTGAATGACTGGCTGACACATTTTTCTTACCCTTCAACTTACTGTTCTTTCCTTCTGGGTTGTGGTTTTGAATGTTTCTTTTATTTTTATTTTTTGGTGAGGTCATTTGCCTTTTTCAGAAGTGACCCTATGCAGTTTCTATACATTTCTTTAAATTTTCAAAATTAATTTTTAAGAAGATATATTTTAGACACACAAAAAAGTGAAGAAATATAACATCCTCAATAGTGGTGACGTCTGTATGTTCTTGCCTATCACCACCTCTTCCTGCTCGATGGAAGCAGCCACTACTCAGCATTGCTTCCTTGAAGCAAATACTCAGCCTGGTTTTAAAATATTTTTATTATGTTAAACATACACAATAGTAAGCAGAATGCTAAATAATAAATCCCTACATACATACCCATCACCCAGATGAAACAGGGACCAAGCTCTTACCCACATTTGCTTCAACAAGTTTTCTCTTCAACAAAAGTTGAAGTGTTTGAAGGCAGGTGGTGTTTAATTATTGTGTGCTTCATTCCGCATCTCTTAAAAATGTGGCCTTTTTTTGTTTAGGTAACCACATGCTGTTATAGCACTTAACAAAGTTAACAGTAATTTCCAGATGCTGCTCTGAGGTATGCAGCAAACTCACAGTGAAGCATTGCTCTGTGCATCAGACCTTTACTGCATCTGTGTGTTTAGAATACACCTCTATAAATGGAATTTATGAATTGAAGATTATGATTCTGGCATTTTATACATATTGCTGGAGTAGAATATTGAAAACATCATAAAAACATATCTACATTATAATTATCAAATTTCTTTTGTTTTTAAGAGTATGAAGATGGTGACTTGTCATCTTGGATCAACAGGGAGAGGTTTCAGAATTATCTGACTATGGACGGCTTCCTCTTGTATGAACTTGGAGATACAGGTAGAAATATACATATAGCTCTATATTACTGCACAGAATTTCTCCTTGATTGATCTGAGAAAATTAATTTTAAGCTCTATTTTAAAATATGTTTTTGTTTATTTATTTATTTTTAAAAAGAGAGGAAGGGAGAGGGAGAGAGAGATAGAAACATCAATGAAAGAGAAACAATGATCAGCTGCCTCCTGCCCCCTATGGGAGATTGAGAAATGGTTGATTTAATAGCACATGTATATACCTGCTTTGAGCCAGAAACTGCCCCAATATTTTGGTGCATGTAATCTCATTCAACTCTCCCAGTAACTTTGAAATTTATACTAGTTTCTAAAGTAAAGTGAAGTTACTGAGGTAAATCATATAGCTAATAAGTGATAGTGCTTCACCATTGTTCTCCAAGACAGAACATGATAGACACTGAGGGTCATTCTGCCTTCCTAGAGAATATCAGAGGTGAATGGGGTTTATATTCTGTGCAGGGTTAAATAACTTTGTTTCAATTTTATTCTGTGTATTATTACTGGAAAGTAGTGACTCGTGGTACCGAAGGGAATAGCAATGTAAAAATTATTCTCCTTATACCCCGTTCTTTTAGAGCTACAGTAATAATAGTAAGTTTTGTTTATCGACTTATTTCTTATGGTTTTTGTTATTGAAAGACTTCTTATTTTAATCATTTTGTGGGTTGTATGAAAAATACAATTTGTGTATGTGACCTATTAAATATTTACTGTTGTTTAATGATGAGGATGGGAGCTGGGAGGGAACTTAACACTTGGAGTCCACTAACTCACTGATTGACTCTACTGAGTGTAACGTGTGTGAGATAACTGGAATTTAATTCTAGAAGCAATGTTTACTAATTCCCCATTCACAGCTGCAATAATAATTGAAAAGTCTGCATAATGAGGGTTATTGAATTTAGATATGTTTTTCTTAATTTCAGGAAAGCTTGTGGCTATTGCAATTATTGATGAGAAAAATACATCAATTGAACATACCAGGTAAAGTGCCTTGAAATCGTTTTAAGCTTCCAGTGTCACCTAACTCAGACTTTACATGGCTTCAGATAAACTTAATATAGAGTATCTTTTCCTGCAGTTTTAGATCAAGTGGCAGATGAGATGTTATAATGGAGTAATTATATATTTCATGTGAAAAATGAAATATTCATGTGTTTGTTGTTCTACAGATTGAAGTCAATTATTCAGGAAGTTGCTAGAGATTACAGAGATCAGTTCCACAGGTAGGTGCTTGCACTCAGGACAATTCCTCTATTTTTGTTTAACTGTGTTTCGTACAATTAACCAAAAAGACTAGTATTTCATACTTCCCAGATGAATCAAAGAGCTGAGTGATTGCATTTCTGTATGAATTGTCTGGACTTGAAGTTTGTTGATATGTCCCCTCAACTAATTTGCAACATACCTGTTTCTGGATAGGATTTGGGATAAGTTTTGCAGTAAGAAGATGTACGTAGGCTCATACATTTGAGATAAAGCTAAATGAGCAATCTCGAGTCAGATAGACAAATGATGCTTATAACAGGACCTCAAAGAATAACGGAATATTAAAATAAGTGATATTTTTGCAGTGTGCTAAATCATTCTAATTGTTGCTGGCATGAGATAGTCAATATAAACTTGTTATATTAGTTAGTTGCTATTCCCTTTTATTGCATCTTCTAATGAGGTATCAGTGACATATACTTATAAATGAGCCATCTTTTGAGTAATCCTCTTGTTGGGTGTGTAACTTTTCTTAAACATGTTGTATAGTTTGAAAGACTTACATTGCCTTGAATTTAAATATATACAAAATAGAAATGTCTTAGAATGTGTTTGATTTTACTTATGTGTGTTCATATCTCAGAATTCTGTAGAATTCACACTCTTCTACATTTATTATATGTAACTTACACATTAAGCATTTATTTACATGCTTACCAAGTTCTTTTTTTGTACTAAATATTGCTTCCTCTCTCTCTCTTTCTCTCTCTCTCATTTTTGGTTATTGTTGTTGGTTAGAGACTTTCAGTTTGGACATATGGATGGGAATGACTATATAAATACCTTGCTGATGGAGTAAGTACTAAATGATTTCCCTATCAATTCGTCTATTTTTAAATTTCTGTTTTTTAGAGACAGACAGAAGATCTAATCTAATGCACACAATCTCTCAATAAATACTTTACATTTTTAAGTCTACATTTAAAACTTTTATATTTTTCTATACTAAAAAATGTCTTTCAATTCAGTGTTAATAATTTATAGTTTTGAAAAGAAGCATCATTCAAAAACATAAAATTTATAGTTTCATTTAATACACACTTTACCTTAAGTTCAATTTCAGTGAACAATTTAACTTAAGAATTAATTTTTAACATTCACGAATTAATTACTATCCAAAAGAATTTATTTTAACAGATTAAAATAGTTTTAAGGGAAAATGTGCAATTTTAAAATAACTTTATCAATTATATTATGATGTAAAGATCTGAAATGTTACTTCATAAAGTTGTTATTAGGAACATTTGCCATACTTATTTTGAATTAATATGTTTCAAATAAGAACCTACTCAATTCAGTGGACATTTAGTGAGTCGTTACGGTATTTGGCACTACTGATGCAAAAAAATGAGAAAATTAGTGTCCCTGTCTTCAGATGCTTGTAGAAACCTAAGATGTCTTCAGATGACCTTGTAGAAGTCTTTAAGAAATTGCTTTGCTATACTATCTCCTAAAGGGTGATGCTCTATCATAGAAATGCATTTTGAGTAGGATATTTACTATATCTTTATCTATATATATCTATATATATCTATATATATCTATATATATAGATACAACCATTTCTAATAATGGCCTTCGAGGCAAGCCAACACATTCAGTTCAGTAGCGTTTGCAAGAGGCCAAAGCAGTTTGGGTCCAATAAATAACTGCTTGCCCAGGATAATATTCAGAATATGTAGAGATGGAGAGACATACTACCTTCATAAGAATTATTTCTAATACAAGTTGTGAGATAGTAGAATTTTTGAGCTATAGTTGTGGTGAAAGAACAACAATAATCTCTACCACCAACCCCTTATAGTTTGGGGTGGTTGGTTTCTCTCTTATTCATACTATGCTTCTTTTGGCGGTGTGTTTTTTTTGTTTTGTTTTTTGTTTTTTAAGGAGAGAAGTTATATAGTGATGGTATATAATATAATTGAAAGTCCATATTGAGCACTTACCTGTGACCAAGGCTGAACTGAGTGGTCAGTCAGTAAGGTATAAGTACTGTAATTATCTCCATTTTATATAGGTGAGGAAATTTAAATTTCTTAGAAGAAACTCAAAGGTGTTAAATAATATGCCAAAGGATGCATCAAATAAGTTAGAGATACAGTTCTCAAATTCACATCCCTCTTGCTCCAAAGCTCTTCACTACTGTAACATTAACATTGACACATAAATCAGTGGAACTTTTAACATACAGCAAATACATATTATATACAACAAGAGGCCCAGTGCATGAAATTCATGCACTGGTAGGGTCCCTAGCAGCTGCCGGCCAGGACTTCCCTCCCTTCCCCTGGTTGCCTGCTGCAGCCACCATCACCAGCCTGGGCCTCCTTTCCTTCCCCCGGCTGGCCCCGCCCCCTGGTTGAACTCCAGGACAAACTCCCGGTTGAGGGAACAATTTGCCTACTACGCTTTTATTATATAGGATAATTACATAGCAACATTGAATATATTTTTTTTCTAAAAATAAATATGATACTATCAAATCTTTGGTCTATTAAATTATTTTGTATTGAGTTTTGTGAGTATATAGTTTAAAGGAAATAAAATGAGATGTTATCTTGCAGTATTACTCATATGGAATTTAATTACACAGTCAGTTAACCATTGCCTAATAACAATGCTGGAAAATAAACCACCTTGAAACCCAATGGCTTACAGTAAGAATCACGTATTCTCTCTCCCTGGTCTGGACTTGGCTGACTGGCTGGGCACAGATAGATGTGGCTTCAGGTCTGCTCCACATGTCTTTAATGCCCTTGACCTTGGAAGGATATTTCCTTGGGAATATCCTTCTCATGGCAGTCACAAAACACAAGAAAGCAAACCCAGCAATGCAGACACATGTCCAGCCTCTGCTTTGTCAAGTGTGTTACCTACCTGTTGACCCAATCATGGCCCTGCCTCAGTGTCAGGGGTCAGATGAGCATGTTTCGCCTTACCTCAATGGACAAAGGGTGTGGCTTAGGGAGGGATAGAGAATTATGAGCAACAAAGTAATCTCCTGGACTTAGTTACTATTTGCAATAATTAATGGTGTAAATTCATTTTCTCCTTTTGCATAACACTTTTATATAGACATACAGATAACTGTAAGCTAATGTGTAGGTGACATACAAAATTACAAGCCTATATATATATATGTGTGTGTGTGTGTGTGTGTATATATATATATACACACACACACACAAACACACATACACACACACACACACATACTAGAGCCCCCGTGCGCGAAATTCGTGCACTGGGGAGGTGTCCCTCAGCCCAGCCTGCACCCTCTCCAATCTGGGATCCCTCTCACAATCCGGGACTGCTGGCTCCCAACCGCTCGCCTGCCTGCCTGCCTGATTGCCCCTGACTGCTTCTGCCTGCCAGCCTGATCACCCCCTAACTACTCCTTTGCCAACCTGATCGGTGCCTAACTGCTCCCCTGCTGGCCCAATTGCCTCCAACTGCCCTCCCCTGCCATCCTGGTCCCCCCACAACTGCCCTCCCCTGCAGGCCTGGTCACCCCTAACTGCCCTCCCTCCCCTGCAGGCCCGGTCGCCTCCAACTGCCCTCCCCCGCTGGCCTGATTGCTCACAACTGCCCTCCCCTGCCGGCCATCTTGTGACCACATGGGGGCCGCCATCCCATGCCCGCTGCCCAGAGGTCCTCCGCAGCCGGGTGGAATGCTTGCCTTGCCACCGTTATTAAAGCTTTTATTAAATATATCCTATCTAATGAAAGCTTTAATATGCAAATTGACTGTCGCTTCATCACAAAGATGGCAGAGCCCATAGCCACAAGATGGTGGCGCCCAGTCCTCTCAGCCCTGCCAGAGTCCCACAGTCCTGGGGGGTGAGGCCACTGAGAGCAGACAGCTTTGAACAGCCTGGCCGTGGCGACGTGGCAAGCGTTCCACCCAGCCATGGAGGGCCTCTGACCAGGCCGGGCGTGGAACGCTTGTGTCGTTGCAGGCCGGGCTGAGGGGACACCCCACCCCCACCCCAGTGCACGAATTTTGTGCACTGGGCCTCTGGTGTATATATATATATATATAGTAGAGAAACATTTAAAGCAAAATTCAAAGTAATCGAGAGTTTGACAGAACCACAATCATGGTGAAACAACTTATTCACTAGGGTTTTCAAAATATAAGGCAGAAAAAATACACTGGATACATACATTATGCATATCAAAACTTACAATATGGATGGATAGCCAAACATAAAATACACTTGGGTTGTATGTGATTAACAGAGATGGTATTTAACTATATCTGTAGCAAGGAGTAATATTACCCAGAAATTGATACTTTGTACATAATTTTTCTCAAGTTTAATTATGAAAACTCCGCTGTTTTATATTATATGTAGCATGTTCTTCATGTAATCTTAATTTAGCTATTTTTCAGAATTGATGCAAAATTTGAAATTTCGTGTAGTCAAAAGAAGGCAAAGCTATTAATACAGCTCCCTCTTTTTATATTATAGTTACTCGTGTATAATATAAGCAAATATCAGAATGTTTGTTATCTGTGTGTTTATGTGGATATTGATTTCTTCGTTTTTCTATTTCCAGTGAATTGACTGTCCCAACTGTAGTTGTACTGAATACTTCAAACCAACAGTACTTTTTACTAGATAGAGAGATCAAGAATACTGAAGACATGGTCCATTTCATTAATAGCATTTTGGATGGCACAGTAGAAGTAAGTTGTTCACTTCTGTTTCAAAGGATGATGACAGGAGATGGAGGAGAAAACAGTTCTTCTCTGATTCTGAAAGGGACAGTCAGTGGCAACTGGGGAGAGGGGAGGCCTCCTCTCTGTACCCTGCTTCTTTCACATTGTGGCAGATTCTTCGTGTCACGACACTGCTGAGGGGTGGAAATATCTTATAAGGGTGATTTGGGGGCATTTTTGTTTTTTTTGGTGATTGGGAGGTGCTTCTGGCTTTAGAGTCAGGGTGTAGGGATGCTTTCATGAGCAGTGCACGGAGCTGTGCCAATAGTGAACTGTCCTGGTTCTTAGAACCTTCCTGGAGTCCAGAGGACGATTGGTTAAGTTATTTGGATTGGTTTTCCTAGAAAACCTGTTAATAAGACCAGTTTCTTAAGAGATAAGGAAATATATTGAGAATTAGAGCCACAGTGGAGATTTCCATATCCTATAAAATATTTCTCAGAAATATGAACGAGAAGTCTTAACTTTTTCATTTTCTATAAATCTTACTGGAGTGTTTTTTGGACTGTTGCAGCCCATGGTAGAGGGTCATGAAACCACATCAGCAGATTAAATTAGAAAGAAATGAGTCTTCTATGCTTCCATGAAGTTTAGTTATCTTGTTTCAACTTTACACAAACTTTATATGAAAGTTGGCTCACAGAGTAGCAAGTATTTCTGCTTTAGAAATAACAGTAGGGATTTTATATTTCTGAAGGTAACACCTGTTGGAATATAACTCACCTGTGTGTGTAAGAGAGCCCTTCTATTTATGGGTTAGTGAAACCCAACTCAGACTATTAACAAAGAGGTCTCACTGGCTCACCTGGCAGAGAAAGTCAAAGGATGGGGCAGACTTCAGGGGTGACAGGATGCCATGAATGTGATTGATTTCCATCAGGAATTTTTCTGTAAAAGCCTTTGGCACTCTTTTCTTTATTTTTATTTTTTTAAAATATGTTTTTATTGATATCAGAGAGAGGGAAGGAGAAGGAGAGAGAGATAGAAACATCAATGATGAGAGAGAATCATTGATTGGCTGCCTCCTGCATACTCCCTATTGGGGATTGAGCTCATAACCCTGGCATGTGCCCTGACTGGGAATCGAACCTTCACCTGCTGGTTCATGGGTCTACGCTCAACCACTGAGCCACACTGGCCAGGTGGCACTCTATTTTTTGAGCTTCATCCTCAGGGAAACTCTGTATACAGTAGCAAAGACCCCAGCAGCATCTAGAGTTGAATAGTGTCAGCTAAATTCAGAAATGGGGCAGGCCTGGACTCGATGGGGATGTGACTAGGGAGGAAGGATTCACAGAGTCAGTGTCTACACAGGAAGCAGGGGAAGATAGGCCAGGGAAACAGGGCATGCTTACACCTGGCCCTTCAGGTGCTTCATGCTATCCATCCTCAACCCTTGCCCTCAACCCTGGACCAGCATTTGTAAGATTACCTAACAGAAAATTGAAGTAATAGTACTTAACGTTGTAATTGTCTTTTTCTGTTAAATTTAAGGCCCAAGGAGGTGATAGCATTTTGCAGAGATTGAAAAGAATGGTATTTGATGCTAAATCTACTGTTGTGGTAAGTTGTGACAGTTTGCTTTATTTTGTTGATAATAGACAGTATATAGGTGTATAAGTTTTTTATGTCTAACTAAGGTAAAATCTGGGATTTGAAAGGATTAGGTAAAAATATTTTCGGATTAGGTAAAAATATTTTCATTTGCTAGGGAAGAACAAGCCTGTGTTTACATTAAGAATTTATGTTCATGGGTGGAAATTGTTTCTCTGGTCTCCATCTCTTTGTGTTGGGTGAGTAACTGCCATTCAGAACCAGTGAGCGTGACAGCAGTGTTTTCCAGTCTTTCCTCCCCATCTCTGTAAGTTCTTGGATCCGAACCCTTCTTGCTTAGAGCTCTCAGAAATCTTCTTACTACCCAGCTTTGGCTCAACCAGCTTGAGAGTAGAGGCCTTCCTGAATCTGGTGGAGCCTTACGTTTGGCTCTAGTTGCCTGTCTGGATCTACCCCCTACCTCATTCATTCTGGCCAGTACAGCTGACCTTCTCTTGGTGAGAGATAAGTTCTAATAGTTTTACTCCATGCATTCTTCAGTTTACCAGTAGTGACCTTCTTTACCTTCCTATTGACACCAGTGTGGATTGGCCCTCAGCACCTTATGTCCAGCCGGGGCTCTGACGTCCACTTGGTTTTCTCATTTCCTCTTGCCGTCTCGAGCCTTTTCTTACACCACCGCACAACTGATAGCACGAGAATAGTCCGTCTTGATCACTTTCCTTCCCCTCAGTGATGCACATCCAAGTCCTCTTTGCATCTCCGGTTCTGTCTTCCTGCTCTTTGACTGCTGGGTCAACCTCCCTGCTGTGTCATGCTGGTGCTTACACCTTACCATGCCCAGCCGCATTCTCACTCTTGCTTACATTTCTGCCTCAAAACACCTTAATTTTATGAAGCTTTCTTCTGTTTCCTCAATCCACAGTGCCCTTGCACTCCTCTGAATTTGTCTACGTGGTTCTAAAGAGTTAGTCACTCAGAATGTACTGTAGTTGAAAACCTAACCAGGGAAATTGCTTTTACTTTTTTGGGAGCTGAGAAGACAGCAGATAAATTTACAGAAATTATTAAGTGAATGTGGCCTTATACTAACTAGATAAGTACGAGTATTAAAAATGTCATGTGAAAGCAATGTGTTACACCTTTATGGTAAATAGCCTTCCCAGTGAGCCGAGTTCTGGAGCCAGGAACACCAGCTGCCAAGCACACAGGAGCCATCACACAGACCTTTGTGGTTCATATGAGAAAAAGAAATGGCATAAGAAACGGCATAGCATTTGGTGCGTTTTCTACTGCCCGGAGCTGATTACACTCACACACACACGAGATAAAATTTTTATCTTTTACAGTATCTTTAACATGGTAGTTACTGCAGAAACATTGACATTGAGCAGGTTGGACAGCAGCAAGAGAACAAAGCCTGTAGTGGTTTTTCATTCATTCATGCTGTTTATGTATGAATGCACTTGAGGGGACTGAGCTGTAATTCTCTCTCCACAGTCCATATTCAAGAGCTCTCCGATCATGGGCTGCTTCCTCTTCGGCCTGCCTCTGGGTGTCATCAGCATCATGTGCTATGGCATCTACACAGCCGACACAGACGGAGGCTACATAGAAGAGCGGTATGAAGTGTCCAAAAGCGAAACTGAAAGCCAGGAAGCAACGGAGGAGAGCAGAGAACTGCAGGAGCCAAGGAGCGGACAGTCTCTAGTGCCTGCCAGGCAAGAGCCCAAGGATGTATTAGAGAAGAAGACAGATTGAGACTCTGCTATGATGTCAAATTATTAAAGAGTCTATTTATTGAATTTAGACATTTAATCATGGTCTTTACAGAAGAGAACAAGTTATTTGTATTTTGCTAATATCAACTGCATGGATTACAGTAGTCCTTAAAAATGGGGAGATGTTGGGAACAAAGAGAGGAAATATGTATCTAAAAAAATATTCCATGGAAGTTTACCTTGTACATGTTAAAACAGATCAGTTCTTTGTGCAAGTTTCTCTGTCTGAATATTCGGTGACAGAATTAAGATTCCTGGGCTGAATATTTAAGTGGGTCAGTCGGGTAGGAGATAGTGTTTGATAGAGAAAAATAGGATTCCACCTCCTACCATCATTCTCTTATATTTTGAATACAGTTTATATGGACATAATTAAGTCTTTAAAATGTAGGAACTTTAAGGGGAACCAATAACTTTTTCCATGGATCATACTAAGATTATGAAATTTTAAAAATTTGGTTTTATATGGCATAGCAATTTTATTTTGTTATTTTTAAAGGAGAGAAAATGTTACTTTTTAACTTTATACTTAGTTGTGTTATAAAAATTCCACATTGGCCTAAATAGTGGCAAAAAATAGTCTATGTTTGATCTTTGTAACAGAAACAGATTTTCTTGGAGCAGTGATTATTAACCATGCCTGCGAAGCTGTTAGCAGGCATCTCAGCAGTCACTGTGGGAAAGGAAGGTGTCTGTAGCTCCTGCCCTGCATTAGCCAGACAGCCTGCTTTATTTCTCTGTTTCCTATATTGAGATTTCTAAAAATTTCCTTAGATTAAAAGCACCTGCTGCTTTTTAAAAAGTAATATATGTCATATTTTATGTTTATAGCATTGTAACTTTTTGGTAACTTATCTGTGTATGTGTGTGTGTGTATACATGTGCGCACACACATATATACATATCATATTTATTGGCATACATGTTATGTAATACTATGGGCATGTCTATGTTCATAACGGGTAATGAGTGACATAATCAGCCTGTCAACAAAATCATGCTCAGTGATTTAAGAGGTCGACCAGTTATCTTCTCCATCCTCTCAATTCTGTCAGCCCTCTCAGCCTGTCGTCTTCTCTCTATAATAAGATGTAGGAAATCTCTATCTGACGGAATGCATAAAAATTGGTGTTTTTAAGTAATAGTTTGATATGTTTATTGTAGATTAGTTTATCTTTGAGGTCTTGATTGTAGCTAAGTTTAGAATTTTTATTAGATGGCTTTTTTTCCTTGAGTAATTGGGTTATCCAATATAAAGATTTTTATCAAATGTTTTAAAATGTTCATTCACTGTAAAACTGTAATTTGTGGTCCTGACACTGGAGTTGTTCAGGGTTTTGATCCCCAAGGGCAGTCTTTGGTGATTTCTAATGCCCCACTGATCACAACTAAACTGAAGCTGTGTCTTAAGTACTGAGGAGTTACTAGTAATTGTTTTATTATACCCATGTACTTTATTAGTATGTAATAATTACTAATTCTTAATGTTTGGCACCCTGTTAGTATTTTATAGTAAGGAATCACATACGCAGTCCCAAGGAATTTCAGGAAATATTAGAATGAAGTGTTCTTAAATGGAATTTAGAGATAAATGCTATTAATTTGACCAGTAGATTCCTCTCCAAAGAGTAATGAGGGATTCTTTTGGAAGATAAATATTAATGTTCCTAGGGGTCAGGCTTGTTTTGCAACAGTAAAAAGCCAACATAAATACAGATGCCTCACTTGAATCTCAGCCTGGTAAGGAAGTTAGCTATTGCCCGTGAAGCAGGAAATGATAGAACATGTTACTGCTTTTTGCTTCGTGTTTATCACTATCAGATGTCCATCATTTGCACGTTTTTTGTCTTTTCAAATGAAAGACAAAAGTATCAAATGAAAGACCTCAAGAGGAAAAAAAATTTAAAGAAAGAGTAAAGCTCAGTATGTATCAACAAACAAAAGTCCAGCGATTTTTGTCTTCAGTCTCTGTTATCTTTTTCACAACTCTATACTGTTGTCCCGTCTTCTGTTTGTGTTTCAAAGTGTGTCTATTGGGAAAACAAAATATGTAGATGGTTTGTAAGTGAATAATTTGACTTTTTTTGTACTAGTATTTTGCTTTTTACATGTCTCTAGGATATTGTCAACTCTTTGCAAAACAAATTTAAATTTTGCTCACTGGTATGCTTTTCCCTTCAATGTGATGTTAGAGCTTATTAGAAATGCTTTTTTTTTTTTTTCATTTCCAGAAAAGAAAAAAAAACAAAACACTTCAGAATAAAGGTAGATTTCTTAAGGAATCTTGTAGAACAGATCCTAAATCTGTGATGAATCTTCCTATGATTACATAGAAAGAAAGAGTGGGAATTGCCTTCAGTCTGTGGGCCTTGTTACAGTAGTAAAGTTCATTTCTAACTTCCAAAATGCAAAGTTCTAGATTGTTTGCTGTTGCTGAATCTGGTGTCCAGACAGTTGTCAAAGATAATTCAGAGAGAGTGCGTGTTTTTAATCAAGCCATGCATCCCATGTGTTTGCAATTCTTTTAGTTTGTTTTACTGTGTACTTTAATATTTCTCTAATATTGCTGCTTCTGAAACTTCTTTGACATGGATTAGATCTAGAATTTTCATTTTCTTCTTCACACATGCTTCCTGGTATCTGATTTAGTAGTAACATTAGGAGCCAAATGCCTAGAGGTTGAAGAAGGAGTCTGTATGAGTAAACAATTAGCTGTATTGTTTTTGTTTAGTGGATTTTTGTTGTTTCTTGTGATTTGTTTCAGGGGTTTTATTTTATTGTGTTTTTTTTGTAGGTTTTCTTTTGCTTTTATTTTGCAAAAATAATTTCAATATTTTCATCAATTCAATCTGATACGAAGGTATGACAGGGAAAAATCCCTGGGCTGTTCTTATGCAGAAATTGCCCAGTTACACCAATGTGGGATGTTAAGACAGTCAATAAGTGGGGTTAGGTTTGCCATTTTATTTTTATAAATATCTATTTTTCCTGAATGTGTCTGAGTCCAAGAGTGGGCCAACAGTTTTCTACTTTGGACTAATCTATAAAGGTCTTTTGAGAGTCTGTATTACTAGTTGAACCCTAATATCCTGCCTTAGGACGCCAATTGTAAACCTTTGTTTTTCTAAAATAAACTGAAAACATGTAATCGCTTATTTTTACTATTTATTTTTTCTTGTGACATGAATAATTCTCTGTGCAGGCAAAGAAGACAGCTAAGACTGATCTTCCACAAAGTGTTTTTTCCTTTTAATTGAGTTGTAAGTAATTTGTAATTATAGAGACAATTTTAGAGTTTGAGCAGACTTGAGAAAAGTAATATTCTAATATAATCCCTTTATATTATACATGAAGAACCTGAGAGTCATAGGTTTGATAGATTTTATGAAATTTTGAAAACAGATTATTTTTAAATATTAATTACAGTGTTTAAAGTTAGAATAATTGGATTTGAGTCCATGATCAACTGCTCAATTGTGATGTTGGACACAGTGCGGCCACCCCTCCCTTTTTATGTTATTATAAAATGAGACTCCAGAGCAGCGGTTCTCAACCTGTGGGTCGCGACCCATTTGGGGGTCTAACTACCCTTTCACAGGGGTCGCCTAAGACCATCGGAAAACACATATATAATTACATATTGTTTTTGTGATTAATCACTATGCTTTAATTATGTTCAATTTGTAACAATGAAAATACATCCTGCATATCAGATATTTACATTACGATTCATAACAGTAGCAAAATTACAGTTATGAAGTAGCAACGAAAATCATTTTATGGTTGGGGGTCACCACAACATGAGGAACTGTATTAAAGGGTTGCGGCATTAGGAAGGTTGAGAACCACTGCTCCAGAGCCTCAAGATTTTCTTCTTATAAAATAGCATCACATAGAGGGAATAAATGTTGATGGGAAAAATAAAATAAAAACACCAGATGAGGAGAGTCTATTATGGAAAAACAAATGTTTACACAAATGTTAATTTTAAAATTCATGTTTTATGTTTTATACCAGTGGTTCCCAAACTTATTTGGCCTACCACCCCCTTTCCAGAAAAAATATTACTCAGCCCCTGGAAATTAATTTTTTTAAAATTTTAATAGCAGTTACTCATCGCCCCCAAATGCACCTGTGGCCATCACCGCCCCCCTGGATCGCTGCAGCGCCCACCGGGGGGCGGTAGCGCCCACTTTGGGAATCACTGTTATACCATGGGCTTATCTCTTACTGAAAATTGCTCTGGCACAGGTATGATAGCTTAACAATCTTTCCCACACATCTTGAGGACATGTACAGAGTAGCTGGTTAGAACAGGCTACTTCTAATAAGAGTGACAGAGCATGTTCAGCTGTGTATAAATTCACAGGTATGACAGTCCCCTCTCCCTGCCAAGCGGCTGAGTCGTGTTGCAGGGCTGGGCAGCCCTGGTGTCACACTGCCTGGCTTCCAGGCCCTGCTTTATCACTCACCTGTGTAAAATGGGTAACAACCTCCCTGCTCCTAGGCAAATGGTGGCATCTATTTCATTGGATTATGAAAATTAAGTGAATTACACGTAAGGCATATTTTAAGCATGGCTGGCACGTAGCAACAGCCCCACAATTAACTATAACATTTACTTACCCAACTTCATGTATTTCTCTTCTCACTTCATTTGAATTTATATAAAAACAAGGGCATTAAGAATGTGAAATCCTAATATGTTTTAATTTGCTTGGCCTCTATAAGTTATAACATTTTGGGTAGAAATGAAAAAAATTATTTACTATTGAAATTACACTTAATTACAAAAAACTAAAAGTGAAAAATATCCTGTTCTACACAATTTTCAGATTCACTTAACTGCTTCATACACCAACTATATAAAAGCTGGATAAAATTTTTTAATTTCGTCTGAGAATCTTTTGAATTTTGTGCTTTTAATGGAAATGAATACACTTAAGGGGATATAAGTATCCAGTAGGGTTTAGGTAGATATAAATGTGATTTAGACACAGATTTAGAATACTAGTGGATATTGAATTAAGATAGGAAAATCATTTTTATTTTTTTGCATGTCTTTCTGACAATAGTGATAAGCCCTCAACATTTCTCTAAGCCCTCAATATTTCTCTAATCTCCTATAAACTGAAAAGGTCTTTTGAACAACTGGTGAAAAGTGGCAATTACTGCCCAGCTGATGTGGCTCAGTGGTTGAGGGTTGGATTTACTCAGCATATCCGAAACTGTGACTGTATTGTGGGTGGGTGACAGGCAACACAGGTCAAAGTAAGGGAGAAGTCCACAAAAGGAATCTCCAGATAGAACGGGTTGTCCTTGGGAGGCCCCGAGGTCCCACACTAAAAATATTTAAGCATAAGCCAGCCAGCCGGTTGATATTGTTTCCTTCTGAGACCAGATGGTGTGAGGCTATAAATGTAAGGGCTAACGCCATCATCAGTGCCCATGTTAATGCAGTGCCTTCTCTTTCCAACAAAAAATCCAAAAACATTTTGTCCAACATTTATGAAGTTGGGTGTATGAGGCAGTTAAGTGAAACTGAAAATTATATAGGATAAACAGGACATTTTTCACTTAATTTTTTTCAATGAATCCATTTCTCTGTCTTCATCATTCTGGCCATTTGTTTTCGAGAACTTGGTTGATTTCAATAACCAACCACGTGGGCAGCTTGTTTTCTTCTTTCTATGCTTTAAATTCTTGCTCTTATGTTCTAAATTCACCAAAAAGAGTGAGTCCTCAAAACCCTAGGCCCCTACGCTGGACCCCAATAAATGCAGAACCCAGGCCAGAACCTCGAGTGTTCTCTACCCATGACTTGCTGTGTGCCCCTGGCATGCCTGGTGCTCCAAGGCCTGTAAGTAATAAACTCTTTGTCTCCAAAGTTTCCTAATGGTTATCTTTTGGAAGGTGTCTTGGAATCATGAAATGAACCATCAGGAAGTAGATCTGGGGTAACACTAGTTTAGAAAGGGGAGATGTCAGTGGGAAGCTCACCAGACCCAGGGGAATTGCTATTCCCTCAATCTGGGTCCTCAGGACTCATTCCCTCCTTAGTCTAGGTCACCTTGTCATTCACACCTTTATTAACCCTCCTATCTAAATTAGACCTGGCCTCCAGCTCTCTAACCCCTTCACTCTGGTGCTTTATTTTTTCAATCATGTTTTTATAACATATAGTAATTGCTTACTGACTGCTTATTGCATAAATACACACTAAATGTGTGCACTGAATGGCCAGAGACTTTTATTTTTTCAAGGCTATAGTCCCAGTTCCTGAAACATCCTTAGCATGAGGTATGCATTCAATAACATTTTGTGAAATAAACGAATGAATAATTGAATATGTTTATATAATGATGTATTTATCACTAGTGTGTCAATAGTTAAAAGGTTTTATTTTAATTGAAGATTTTAAGTGCATGTTCTAAAAGTTAATTGCTTAATGCTTAAGCAATCAGAAAGATAAGTAACATAAAAGAGTCATAACCTTTGGAAATATTTTGTTTTAATATGGAAGTTTTTTTTGTTATTTAGTTTAAAATCTAAAATCTTAAAATCTGTGCAGCCATTGAAAATAAGAATAGGTTTGAAGTCAAGAACTATGGAAATTTTAGGTAATGGACAGATCGGTTGTTAGCTCTTTTGCAAATGTAAGTCTAAACTTGCTAGCCTTTGTGTTAGTGACCACTACATCTAAAGTCATGGATTCTTAATCAGTGGTGCTTATCAGAATCACAAGAACATGGATCACCTCAGATGATTTATAAAAAAAAAAAGAACACTTTACCATTCGCAACATCATGGATGGACATGGAGAGCATTATGCTAAGCGAAATAAGCCAGTCAGAGACAGGTAACTATCACATGATTTCACTCATTTGTGGAATATAAAGAACAACATAAACTGATGAACAAAAATAGATCCAGAGACAGAGAAGCATCAAACAGACCGTCAAACCTCAGAGGGAAGGGGGTGGGGAGGTAAGAGATCAACCAAAGGATTTGAACTACTATGCATGCATATAACCGTAACCAATGGACAGACACTAGGGGAGAGAGGGCATGTGCTGGGGGTGTAGAGGTGGCCAGGGAGAGGTCAATGGGAGAAAAGGAGACATGTAAAACTATATGTAATACTTTAAACAATAAAGAATTTATTTTAAAAAAATACACATAAACCCTAGAAAGTCCAATTGGTTGCTCTTGGGTGAACTTCTGCTTGAAGCCAGAACAGGGAAAACAGCCTTCCCCAGTTGATTTTGATGAGTCCAATCTGTGAAGCAATGGTTTAAATGATTATTGGAAGTAAAAGTTTCAGTGCCTTTGAGAGAAGTCATATTATTCATGATTTCCTAAGGAGCACTCAGAGGTCAAGTATGATACAAGAGCATGATATGCTTCAGTAGCCCCATCCTGACCCTGGGGCCCTGGCCAGCTGCAGGAAAGCAGTTTTTATTTTTATAAGCAAAGAAGTACGTGATGTCCTGCTGGGACGATTTACCTCTTTTCATTCTACCATCTTCCCTCTAGAAATGAGCAGTGGCTCAGGGATGAAGTCAGCCTATGCTGTTGAGGACACTCATGATGGGGAGCCCCAGGGAGGCAAGGACCTCCAAGGTTAAACTTCTGCTTGGTCCTCAAGAGTCTCGTGTAGAAAATGAAATTTAAAATATGCTTTGGTCCTGTTTTGCTTCTTCTACACTGCCTAATGTAAGACAAGGTTTGATGTGACTATTAAACGTGCCCCAAATAAAAAAAATGTACCAAGAAGTATAATGGATGATAAAAAGCCCAGAAATAGCCAAAGCACAGCTCTGTAGGAGGGCATTTCTGCTCAACATCTTATAAGCAGGTATAGTTAATTTCTAGATAATTGGACTCATGATCAAAAGCAGTTTTTCCCCCTATGAAACTGTATTGTGTAACTTCAGATGGTAGAATAAGAAAATGAGAGGAGTGAAAGTTCCCAGTCTTCAGTGGAGTGAACCTCATTTGAAAGGGAGAAGGACATAACCAATGCACACAGACACTAAGGGGTAAGGGCATGTGCTGGGGGGTGGGGATGGCCGGGGGGAGGTCAATGGGGGAAAGGGAGACATATGTAATATATGTAATACTTTAAGCAATAAAAATAAATAC